CTCTCTTGGATCTCGGTCGGGCGGCCAGGGAACTCAGAGCACCTCGCGCTGTGATGGGTCAACATGCTGCGCTCAGTCTCACATCTCAGCTCGAAGCTGCACCGAACGGCAACTCGATGGCGGCGAGCACAGTTCCGCAGGACTTGGCGCAGCCCGACCAAGGCTCTTGGGAGCAGCCATCGAGCATCAGCCGGGTCAGAGTTCGTCGTGTCTTGCGTCTCAGACCGACACCTATCCAACCTGCATCGCAGATCAGTCAGCCTCGCTCACTTCGGACGAGCATTCAGTCTAGGTTGGAGTACTCGGACGATCCTGTGCAAGGTCTTGGAGCTGGACAACATTCTGGTCTGTGGGCTAGATTGGGTGCTCCGCCTTGCGAATTTGTCATGGATGAGGAGCCTGGTGCATCTGAGGATGCAGATGCGGAGGAAGATCAAGTCGACCCGGCGCATGACAGCCTGTTCCGCTTGCAACGTCCAAGAGAAGCGGCACACAAGCGATGGTATGACGCAGACAAGGATCAGAGGGATGTTTGCAGCCTTGTCGAGAACCACACCGTCAATCTCAAGGTGCGATTGCGGTTCCAAAGCGCGCATTCTGCGGCGACATCCTCAAACAGCACTTCAAGTGCGGAGAATGGTTCTCGAAGGCGAACGCCCTCCTCTTCCTCAAGACCAAACTCGGCACATTCGCATGCGCTTTATTTTGTTAGTGCGGAAAGCTCTTCCCAACTACTGCGCGTGCTCAACGCTGCCGACAACAAGTTGCAAAGTCGACCTGGCGGACTGACACGACCAGGCTGGACTGTCGTGCCGCAAGACGAATTTCAACAGGAGCGAGATCAAGACTTTGACGTCGAGTGGACACCAGAGCAGTTCGGCAAGACAGGCAAGAGAGCCTGCTGCTTCGTCGAGGTGAACGAGCGGAATAGCAGCTCGCGCATCTTGGCAGGATTTGCTTTTTATGTCGATCCTCTTGTTCCCGCGACTTCTGGCATTGCACCGACTCCGAGCCGGTCTGCAGCTACGTCGCCCGCTTCCGCGTCACGAAGCTTGCCGCACGATTCCGATGATCGCCGTCTCACGATCTGCAAGCCGGAAAGTGATCCTGTTCCATTTCCGAGCAGTGATCCGGCTCCCTCCGGTGCTACCTCGAAGGCTCTTATGGTGGACCATACCGAAATCACCGTGGCTGACTGTCTCGAGGCCGATTCGCCTTTGTTCAGAGCTGCGGTACAGAACCTAAGTCGACGGACTGCCGCGCTCAAGAAGCAGGCCAAGGCGGTCCTGCGCGCCACGGCTGACGTGCAGGCGCACGCCAGCGCATCCCGTGCGGCCCATGGGGCTCTGGATGATGCGCTACAGGATCTGTCCATAAGCCAGCCCAACACACTCGGAAAGCTGTTGCAGCTCGCACTCACCCAAGCACGAACGCGAGCCAGGGCGCAGGACGAGAGCGAATCTAGCATGCTAGATAACTGCGTTACTGGCCCGGTGAGAAACCTGCTGGAGCTTTGTCGGACCGCACAAGAGCACATCAAACTCTTCGAAGCGGACAGCAGAGCGTATTACAACCACACGCAGAAATGGCTCTCTACCAAGACCATTTCGGCCGGCGCAATGTCTGCAGATGTCGATGCGGATGTGAGCTACGCTTCGAATGCTGTGGGCTACGACAAGGGTCAAGCGAAGCAGGACAAAAAGGACGAGCTGCAAAGACTCAGACAACTCAAGTTCGATAGAGCCAGAGTGGAGCTTTATAGGGTACATGCTGCGCTGCATGGAGGTGCTGCAGAACTCGAGTCTGCCCAACAGATACTGTTCCTGTGCAGGTGGCACGCCGATACTGCGCCAACTAGCACGACTCAGACCCACTGGCCAGCTCCTGCGCTCTATTCGGCGCTGGAAAAGTTCGGAGACGAAGCATTAGCTGCTGCTCAGCAAGCCAAGGCGAAGGATGTAGAGGCACGAAAGGCACTCGATGTGCTCGACGCTCAAATCATCGAGCTGGACGAGACTTTCGCTGGCGCAACACAGGCTCCGGGAGATGCTACCGATCCAAGCACTACTCTGAGCTCTGTGGAAAACAGCAAGAACGCAGCGTCGGCGAAGTTCAAGAGCCTTTTGAGCAGCTTTGGGGCCATCGGCTCTACGGGTCTGAATGCGGGCTCTGCTGGTAGGAACGCGGCGCCAGCTGATCAAGAACATGTCGAGGCGATCGTGGACACGCCCATCGTGACCCAGACGTCGGACACAGGCACATCCCTGTCATCGACAACTGCGCAGCCACCTGCACCGGGGCCCGCATCTGCGAGCACGTCTGCCACGAATGCGATCGGGTTGATGCGCCAAAAGGTATCACAGAGGTTCGTCAATGCGGGACCTGCTACCACTGCTATCACGGGTCCGGTAATGGGCGCCTTTCAGCGCTTCCGAGGTACGGCAAGTGGCACTGCCAATGTAGACGAGCACCTGACGAGCCCGCAAGAACTCTCCATGTCACTTCCCTCTGCGACGCCAAAGCATTACAGCACGAGCGGGGCCACCACTGCTCCCGCCGCACCTTCTGTGACTGCTGTCAGTCCGTTTGCCGTCGATGCTAGTCCCATAGGACTCGGTACACCCCGAGGCGTCAATCGAAATACGCCTCGACGAGCCCTGAGTCAGTCCAACACTCCTAGCCCATTTGCCAGCAAACAAGGCTTGCTCGATTTCAGACAAAGACTGGTATCGGCTACCTCGCCTGGTCAAAATGCGAGCGTGCGGACAACGCAGAGAGGCAGTCCGTCTATGAATCGGTCGTCGTCCGAGTCTACGCACACCGGACGCGGACTTGGAACGCTTGCGGGCGCAGGAAGGAGCACTTCTTCCTCGTCTGGACTGGGAATCGGAGGGCTTGTGATGGAGGACCAGGATGTCCGCCAAATGTCAATGTCGTCATTGATCAGCGCTGCTCCTCGCTTTGGACCGTCTGATGGCCTTCTAGCTCAATCTTCGAGGCGGAAGAAGGAAGGCTTGCTTTGGGTCCACAGTAGACCTATCAACAGCACGAGCGCTTCGGATGCTCCGAGAGGCGTCAATCGTTCAACGCATTGGCGCGAAGCGTGGGTCGTCCTCAGCGGCTCTGGTCACCTCGGAGAGTATGCGGCGTGGCGTGAAAAGAAGGTCTTGGAGCCTAGTCAGCCCATGATCGATCTTCGATTTGCCACAGTGCGGGAAGCTAGAGGCGTGGAGAGAAGGTTCACGTTCGAGGTGATCACGCGCGACCAGCGCAGGTTCTTCCAAGCTCCTGATGATGCGGCAATGAAGAGCTGGATCGCGGCTATCCGCATAGCGATCGAGAGCTTAATCAATGGGACCAGCAGCGTGCGCCAGATCGACAAGGTCGCTAGGTCAGCAGAAATTACTGAAGCTCTCGAGTCTGTCTCTGGCCCGGACGACTTTGGACTGGCGGCCCTCAGACCCCTCGGTCCTCCAGATACCGGCAATGCACTTGCCAGTCAGAGCAAGGCTTTTAGTCAGAGCTTGACGGATTTGAGCAACATAGCTACCAATCGTCTGTTCAATAGGCAGTCGGACAGCTTGCAAAGACAAATGGCACCGGCGTCAAGTTCTCGCCATAGCTTGGTCTCACCTCAATCTCCGTCAAGCCCATACCTGTCTGTCTTGATGGAAGGCTCGCGCAGTGGTATGCCCACGACTCCCACTCGACCTTCGCACGAGCGTGGCATCTCCAACAAGACGCCTGTCTCGGGCTATGTTGGCACGCACGATGCGGGCGTCGAAAACATCACCATCACGTCTCCTTTGCAGACGGCGGCGGCGGCGGCTTCGCGTCAGCCTTTGCTGCGTCGCCAACCGACCGACTCGAGCGATGCGGGCGTTCCGCCTTGGATGGCGGACAATGAGTTTGATGCGCGTATCGCTGAGCTTGTGCAAGGCTCCTATGGCGATAGTACCACGGACCTGTCCACTATTCAGGTTGGACCCGCGCCTATGATGGCTGGCAGCAGCACGAGCAGCGGTGCGAGCGCTTCGACTTCGACAAGCCAAGCGAGAAGAATGAGCCAGGTTTCCAACCATCGAAGAGCTTCCACAGAGCTCCAGTCTCCATCTAAAAGGCTGTATAGACCTCACCTATCGACGGACATGAGCGGTGCTAAGCTGCCCAGCTCGAGCGCGCAAGAAGCTGCTGCGACGACGACGGGCAATGTGCGTAAAAGAGTGGAACGCATCAATTCTGGTCAGTCTCAATCCAAAGTTTCGCGCGCGGCGGAAATCGCTCGAATTTCGAGGTTGCCAGAAAACTCCGCGTGTGCAGACTGCAGGCTGCCAGGTGAGTCTTGCTTGGAATGCAGCCGGCCGTAGGCGGAGATGCTTTTACGCGTCATGTTGACCCAGCGACTTGCTAAACCTCCTCGCAGATCCTCGATGGGCATCTTGGGCTCTGAACGGTCAGCCTTGCTGCATCTTCATCTGCATCAGTTGTTCGGGCGTGCACAGGAGCCTTGGCGTGCACGTGAGCAAGGTCAAAAGCGTGGATTTGGACGACTGGACCGAGGAGCAACTGGATGCGGCGCGCGAATGGGGCAATGCGCGCGCTAACTCGTATTATGAAGCGAGTCGACCTGCTAGCGTTGTGAACCCTCTAAGCACCACGGCTCGCGCAGACAAGACTTTTTGGAAGGAAAAGTACGTCGAGAAGAGGTGGGCTGCGCTTGGACCGCGCGAACAATTCCTTCGAGCCTCTTCCTCGTCCGAAGGCTCTGATCCCAACGCTGCGAGTCCGAGCAGGGAGATTCGAAGCCCAAAGCGAACGTCTACGTCGTACCCCATAAGATCCTCCTCGCACGTCCAGACGCTCAGCTACACTTCGGGACTCCCTCCGTCGGACGACAGAAGCGCATTCTCGCAGGACTCGCCTCTGAACAGCAATGGCATGACTGGCATCCAGCTGGCATCGACCCCTCGTCCTTCTATACCGTCCAGAAGCCCAACCGTCCAGCGAGGCATCGCCAATCATAGTGTCGGGAACCAGCCGTCAGCTCATTCAATCACCGCATCGCCCAAGAGGCTGGAACGTACAGCTGCTATCACCGCTGCTGGATGGAGCTTCACACCAGAGACGACCCCGTCTCGAGATCTCTCTAATGGCACGAACAAGTCGACAGCTCTTGCGCACATGGACGCTGCACCAGAAACGCCTACGCGTTCTCACAGCCGTAGTCAATCTTCGTCTCATCGATCGCCCCAAACTCCTTTGGCGTTGGCGCGTTGATCGCGATCGCAAAGCGTCTTGTCTGACTTTTCTCTACCCTGCCCTAAATTGTTCCTTTGTGCGCCCTTCAAACTTCGATACCTCTTACTCTGCACACATACCACGACACGCCAGTGCGAAGCTTTGCAAGCCTCGTCATCTTTTCTTTGCTATCTTGACGCTTCGTCATACCTGCCTTTGTCTCAATGTATTCTACGCAAGTGACGAAGACATGCTGAATCGTGTTACATTCGTGCAGGTCAACATGGACTTTGCCCATCGTTGCTCTTCACAAAAGCCTGTCTTGCTACATTGAAACGTTGACCCCTGGGCATGCGCACGCGGTTGGGTTGAAACGTAGCGCAGCAGACATCTATTGTCCATACGACTGCTTTCGTGGATGGCCTGTCTAAGAGTGTGATGTGACAGAGTGATTGAGATTGTGAGGTGCTTTGCTCGAGATTGTTAGGAGGAGCTGCAAAGTGAATGGGCAACACTCAAGACCGTCGTGGCTGTCGCAAAAAAAAAAAACAAGTCGTTCGAGGGGCCAAAAAGAGCAGCTTGCCCTTTAGAACCTGTTGAGGTCCCTCCCAAAGATTCGATTGACGGCCCAAAAGAAAGGTACTAGGATTCTGTTCCTGTTGCTCAAGCTCATAAAGGTATAAGCGCTTCTCCAAATAATCCAAGCCCATCGTCCATGGATCTTAGCTTGCGGAGAATCCACGATTGCTTTTCCACCGCCCAGAGCGGCCATCTGACCCATATTCTTGAAGGTGAACTTGGTCTCTGGTGAGGTTTTGCCGTTCAGTACGGAAGCTACGTACTTGCCCTTCTGAGCCGCTACTTGTGCAGTAGCGGGTAGAGGAACCCCCTCTATTTGCGCACAATCCCCAATCGCATACACATCCGGTAAGACTCTGGGCGCGCTCGGTGTTGCTTCGGAACTGCTGGTGGCCTCGACTTCACCCTGTGGAGCGAGCGCGCGCAAGTGCTCGTTGGTGTACAAGAACGAGTTGCGCTCGTCTTTCTTGATGCAGGTAATGGACTGAGAAACGGTGATCACATGCAGAGTGTGTTAGCGGACGCAGGCAGTGTAGGTTTGTCTGTTCTCCAGTGTCGATTCACCTTGACGAGCGGTGTGCTGCAAACACCCGTTGACCAAACAAGAAGACCGAAAGGGACTGCGAGCGGTCCGAGGCGTGGCGTAAGTCAAGGCGGACGGGCAAAGCTCAACACATTGCGTTTGAAGGCTTCTGAAACAGCGTCGACTTACTCTCGCCATCGGGCTCGACGACGAGTCTGCCCCTGTCCACTCTTTTTACCTGTCTTTCGAGCAGAATCTTGATCCCATCCCTCTTGAATTTCTGCCTGGCATAGGTCGAGAGACTAGCATCGAAGGAGGAGAGGATACCGCTGGAAGCGTCAATCAGAGTGATTTGTGCCAACGGTGCCACCTTAGGGAAGATGCGCGTCAAGTCGGACTTGACTAGATCGTGCAGCTATGGACCCAAGGAGTCAAATTGAAAAGGGACGAAAGACATTCAGACACAAGAGCGTAAGCGCTCATTGGTCAACCGGAGCCACGAACCTCTGCTGCAAACTCTGAGCCGGTCGGCCCTCCGCCAACGACGATGAAACTAAGCAGCTGCCTGCGCTGCTCATCGCTCATGCTAGGTAGATGCGGTGCGGGAAAAGGATGCGGTGCGGAATCAAGGAGATGCCGAAGTATTAGTCCTCGCTCTGGCTTGCATCGAACCGAGTTGCACTCACGTTGGGTGATCAGCCATCTCAAACACTTCCAGAATCCGCCATCTACATCCAAAATCAGGTGACGGAACTCGGCTAAGCGGTCACGACCATCGGCGAGCTCATTTGGGATGAATCACTACCCACCGAATCGACCGAGCATTTTGCACATCCTTCAGAAACCAGGCATTTTCTCGAACACCTGGAGTCTTGAATGTCCGATTATAAGCGCCAACCCTATGGCGTGCAGGAGGCGAGGTAGTTGCGCTCATCAGGACAGGTCATCGAGAGCTCTCTGACGCTCATCGATCGGAGCCAGCATCTTTCCTGTCCGCAGCCGGATGACTCACGAGATGACCAACTTGTCGTACGGCAAGAGATACTGCCTGCCTTCTTCAGCGCTTCTCCACGTCTCGCCCTCGCTCTGCGCATGATGTCTGCTTCTGCTGCTCTCCCCATCCACCTCCACTTCCGAGCTCTCGATAGCTCTCCTATGAGGAGGTCTGACAAAGCTAGTGCTATGACCACCTCTAGCATTCGGGAAGCTCCTCATAGGTGCGTCGTCCGGACCGAGCGTGGCGGGCGGTGCGGTTCTGAAAGCAGGGGGATAAGCTGGAGTCAGGAGCAGATGTTTGGCTGTAGTGTCGATGCCGTCTGCCCAGGCGTGGTACAGCTGCGTGGAGCCGCACGACCTGACAGACTCCATGGTAGCTTTGAAATCCAAGGAACCTACAGCTGCTTGAGCTAGCAAAGGCGTCATGTTGAAAGAGCTATTGGGAGAGACGCAAACCACTTCGTATTTGGAGTGATCGATGGACTTGAGAACCGTCATTGCTCCCCAGCCTGACCCCAGAACTACAACTCGAGGTTTCGTCTTGCCAGAGCTGTCCAGCGGAGGATTGACTGGCAGCACTCGAGCTGGAATAGGATGCGTGCGATGCATCCCGCGTTGCTGTAGCACGACGGTGGGCTCAGTCCTTGCCGTTGATCTTGATAAACATCCATCCTGAACGAGGCTGCCCAGCCTGATCATGGAGAGCTTTGCTTTAGAACGCAGCATCTTCACGAGCGGTTGCTGCAAATAGCAGCCAAGCAAGACTGGTAGCGATGAAAGGTAGCAAGTAGGTGTTGGATCCGTGAACTGCGCACACAATGCGCTCGAGCTTCGATTCCGGCGGACAAGAGACGTGGAGGAGAAGGATCAATAACAAATAAAGCCTCAGTCTGCTTATGAGGACGCGGGACAAGTTCGTCCCAAGAGCCTACTGGGTATTTCGATGGTGTACTCAAGACGTACCAAGGATGAACTGCAGGATCGGAGTTGAACTTCGGTGCTCGCAGTGTGAGTACCAAAGAAGGACATGTGTACCCTGCACGTCAAGGCAATGTGTCGTCACATCCAGGGGCTTCGGAACGCTTTGGAGACTACATGCACGTCGTCATGTCCATAGATAAGGTACTCTAAGTTCATATCGAAGCTTTCATACGTCACTCGGCCCTTCGATCCATCAGCAAACTTCGTGACTTTACCTTTTGCAGCTGCAAAGATGCAGCTTCTTCGCAGCAGGCCCCTGCACGACCCTTACATGTCACAAGCGAGCCTGCCTGACACTCTTCTGATGTTCACGACTCTGTTTCAGTAATGATCCGGTGTTCGACGCAATCACGGCTTTCACGTTGGACCTAGCTTGGTGTTGATCAATGCAATGCAAGAAGGATACAGTTTGAGTACATGCCCTCATCTAGACTAAGCACATGAGAGCCGAAAGGTGGAAATCGGTACAACGATGTGTTGGCGTCCAAGGACAGATCGGGAGGAGCTTGCTCCGGGTATGGACGGAACCGGCTCGATGTGCATGTCGGTACTGTACCCATCACCGCCACACGCATGTACCGGTACATACGCAACATCAAGCAGCACTTTAATTGGACCATCGCATCTCCGTGCGCCAGCCGCTCCGCTTTCCGCGCGCCGGGTCTCGCTGCGTGAAAGCCGCGCGCGCAAAGCCACCGAGAGATCCATGAAACACGTGACAAGCACTGCTGGTGTATGCCACGTGATCGAGTTTGAACGCGGCGTGGCGGTGCTCTCGGGTGTTTTGCGCGGAAAGCAATGGAAACCGTCGGGTACGTGTGGAGGTGGTCTACAGTGCTATGGCTGCCCAAATACCTATGCATGTGCACTCGATCATCGAACAAGGCGAGGGTGCACGGAGATCGACATGCATATATGCAGGAGGGATGTGGGCAGCAGTGACGCAGCAGTCACGGTCACGGTCACGAGTGCGAGTACGGTCTTGTTTCCAGGTTCTACCGAGTACAAGTGCGTGTGTGAGATGGGGATCCATGGGTGTCGTCTGCCCATCATCACCACTCCCATCATATCAGCTCACGCGCGCCCTATCCTAAAAGTTACGAGCAAGACCCAGCTGTGAAAGATGACTTCCATCGCCACCAAAATCGCCAAAGGTTTCATCGAGAAGAATGCGAAGCAGTACGAGCCCGTCGACCCATTGTGAGTTGGGGGGGGGG